CTTTATTTATAAGCACAATGAAAGTTTAAACAAGTGTTTGTAGCAGTTCATCATTAACTGGAGAAAGAGGGATAAATAATAAGTTTTTAAAAGTGAACGTTTATTCCAAGTTGAAGTTTAAACCTTAATCATTATTAAGTTGTTGAAAATTTACAGCAAAACTGTAGAAAAAAATCTCATGCTTGTATCTCAGCTAAGTCTAAGTCACAAATAAAAACTAACAAATCTTGAAGAGCTGCAAAATCTCTCTAAAATGGAGGAAATCTTTCTTAAACAAAAGCTAATCTAAAATGGAGGAAATCTTTCTTAAACAAAAGCTAATCTAAAATGGAGGAAATCTTTCTTAAACAAAAGCTAATCTAAAATGGAGGAAATCTTTCTTAAACTAAAGCTAATCTAAAATGGAGGAAATCTTTCTTAAACTAAAGCTAATCTAAAATGGAGGAAATCTTTCTTAAACTAAAGCTAATCTAAAGTGGAGGAAATCTTTCTTAAACAAAAGCTAATCTAGTTTCTAAAATGCTTGATAACCTTTTCCTAGTTTTATTAAAACTGTTCTCTTTAAAGTGTGTAATACATCGCATATTTAGTTTCATCTTTCATTATTATTATTTTCATGTAAATTTGGAATTACTTGTTTCTTGCAAATAGAGCTTGTAGATTAGGTATCATTATTCATTTATTTTTCTTTAACTACCTTCAGTAATAGAATAAAATCAAGCAAAATATGTTGTTCTTCAAATAATAATTTCGCAATCTTTTTTTTTTATTATTTTTATCAAATTGATTTTTTATAGTTTATCTTATACAAAACCTTCACAACAATAATAGCTGACTGTCCAGCTTACGATAGTAAATGCTGATTAATTCTGAAAATAAAATCTTAATAAATGTTTTCTAAAAAATTTTAGTAACAATGTATGTATGTATGAAGATTATTGATCCTTTTAATAGTATTTCACAAAAAACAGTAATTTTTGTTTATATTTGGTTCCTGATTAAAATTTTGACTTGTATATATATTTTTATTTTATGTTCAGATCTTCTTGATAAAGCCTTATAGATTGACCCATGCAAAAACTGGTTCTGAAAGAAATATTCCTACATGATCAAATGTCTGAATCTGTAGCTTGTTAATTGTAATAGCAAAGGAAATGATTTTTTTTGGTGAAGGGCAAATGTAGGAAGGTATAACTTATCTTAAAAAATGCTTAAGTTTTTTGACTAAATTTTTAAACATATCTTACCCAAGGTGAAAAACACCAATAATAATAATGTATTTTGGCGCTATCTGTTGGGTTAAAACATTTTTTTATTTTTTGATATATACTGTCATTGGTGTTTATTATGTAATATGATATTACCTCTAATTTAATCTATAATTGTTCAAATATTCTACAATTTCATTATAAATATGATAAAAATAAATATAATAAAAGATAATAACATTAAAATCCCAACTGGACTGTGATTTGAATGCAAGACTTCCACTTAATAGTTGAGTACTATAATCACTGTGACACCTAGTCTTTGTAATCAAATCTTAAGAAATAATTTAAACCCTAATGTAAATTATCATGATATTGTGATTTTTACTGATATTGTAATATCTTGCTCTAAACATGATGAGCTAATAATTAAAAAAAAATTATTGAAAATCCCCACTCAACAAGACATCTGCTTGAGACAAACCACTAAACCAATCTGAACATTACCAACAGAGAGCTGAGCATTACTGACAAAGGGAGCATTATGGACACAGAAGGAATTTTATTGTATATGATACCAAATTGAATTTTTTTTATCCCAGTTTAGAAATTGCTTGTTTTTGACCCTGGAGTTTAAGCATTTGGAAGAGGAAACATCGGAGAGCTTGTATATTTTAAAATAACTGGCATGATAAAACTTAACATATTTAAAAAAAGATATTGATTGTTGCAATTAAATGTCAAAGTAGTAGTTTTCAATGCAATTTAAAGCCCAATTTTAATATACTTGTATATGTTTAACGTTATTTTATAGTGTTACATTAATTTGTTTTTTATTTGTGACAGTGTTGAATATTAAAAATTTATTGTAGTTTTCTATCAAAGAATTTTAGACTAAATTAAAAGCTTTTAGGTACAGCAAAAAAATAATTCTGAAAAAAGAGAGTACTTCTTAGACAGGTGGTATAAAGAAATGTACTGTATCATCCTGTTGTCAAGAGCATATTATGTGAGATAAAATTTTATTTGAAGTAAGAAAGCATGTGTGAACACTGTTTTGGTATCACATATACTTAGTAGTGGAATGTGTAGGTTTTGAACTTGATTAATCATGAGTGACAGTTGTGGGGGGGGGGTCACAGTCTTCTAGAAGGGAGTATAAAAAGCACAAAAACTTAGTTGTTTCTTGTCCACGGTTCAAAATGCTAATACCGTAAATTATGATGTTACATTTCTCTATTAATCAGTTTTGAATGATTACTGTTTATAAACAGAATTTTTATTTGATCAATGGAAGAAATAACAGATGTGTGGACAATTTTTTCTAGTACCTCAGCTTGTCAAATCCAAGTTAGTTAGAAAACTTGAATTTTTAATGTCAGATATGGTTTTGTTTGAAAGCCTGACTTTACAAATTTTGTACTGAAAAAAAGATTAAAATGTCTAGCAATTTTCTGTTATATACAACATTTTGCTTTGATAAACTACACTACTAGGATGAAATGTTTTGCTCTGATTAAAAGAAGTAATTCAATATTGATACAAGTGTAAAACATTTTAAATAAATAAAAAAAAAAAGTAGGAATGGGCAGGATAACATTACAACACTTAGTGGTTTTTGACAAGGTGCAACCTCAAAGTGGGTGTGGCCATCATTCCACCCATTCTTACTTTGTGTGCTTTTTGTAACTTGGTAATGGTTCAAACTAAATGGAAGGTGTGTATAGCTAAATGTCTCTGTTGTAAACTTTGTTTCAGCAACAAAGTACAGATACATGTATGTAATCAAATTACCTGACCCTAAAGAAATGCATGACATCATAAGAGGAGTTTTTATGTCGGAACTTATACAGGAAGCTCCAATAGTCATACTTTGCTTATGGAAGACGTTATAGTTATTTGACTAGTAAGGGGTGGATCAACAGAATAGTATGAAAAACTGGTTTTTGAAATTTGTTGAGTATTTAGAAAGAGTTAGCTACTGATAAAGCTCATTTCAAGTCTATAATTGGATCAAAGCTTAAAGTAAAACCTGAAGTAGGAATGAACTGGACAGAATGATGCCCATATCTGCTTTGAGGCTGCACTGTGTCAAAAGCCACCAAGTGTTATAATGTTATCCTGCCCATTCCTACCATGTTTCCTAACATTTTGGTGCTCCCATTCTTCCTAATTTTTGTATTTAAAGATTTTTACACTTGTCTCATAGGTTTTTTGGTACAAAGTCTTGAGCTCTAGGCTTATCCTTCTTGTAGCTGTTCTTAGAGCTATCTCTCAGCATTTCCTGGGTTTTGCTGCTATCATTACTATAGTTTTTCTTCCATCTAGTGGCAGCCTTTTCTTTGGCTGCTTTAATGACTAAGGCTTGTTTCACATATTCAGCATTACTGTTTCTTACATTATCTCTATTCCTGCAGTAATGCTTTCTTTGTTGGGACAAAGACTTTTCAAGGTTATCAACATAAGATTTTCTCATTTTGTTTCATTAGAAGGCATATTTTAAAAATTGTATTGTTTCAAATACAACCTTAAATGTCAGTAGGTCACAATTAGTTAGAAAACAATGCAAAAGTAAATTATATAACTTATCATTCTTGTTTCAAGCCCAGAGTGTTTGAACAAAGCCATGTCAGACTTTGGTAGTGGTAGCATTTGTCTTCATGTAGGAGACTCTTATCTTGGGCACCAACTGCTATGATAGAATTGCTTTGTCCAACACAGGACCTCAAGTCAGATGTATAGAACTGAAAACTTTGCTTTCAAAGTTTAGATCATAGTTAGAACCTAGATCTAGAGAATCTACTTAGTCCATGTTTTGTTATCTAGCTGATACATCTGCAGACTGATCATTTAACACATGTGCATAAGCAATCTTTCACCAGCATGTAATACGAGGGGAGATTGTTACTTGGCAACTCGCAGAGCGTGCTTGTAATCTTAGAATATGGCTACTGGTGTATTGTCAGCATATTAGTAGTGTTGCAAAATGGTTATTGTTATTACTAAGGTTATAAGTAAAACTAAGATTAATGCTTTAAGCCATGGTAATGAAATTCAATCATGTGCATTTAGATTTGCATAATATTAGTCAATCGGTCAGTCAGATAGACAAATTTGTGGTTTTTATGAAATTTTTGTTTTTACTCTATACTGACTTTCTCAAGTGCTTTGGTGACTTGTTGCTCTGCAGTTGGTTTGTTTACTACTCAACAGTGTGTGTAAAGTACTTATAAAGTTTTGTTTACATACTTTTGCATGTTGGAGATTTTAATTCATATTGCACATCTGGCCCATTCCTACTATAAGTAATACCATACTTATGATAAGCCACTTTTGTCACTCAGATTCCCCTAAAACTGTCCTTGAAATTTAGAAGGTTTTTTTCCATACATGTATGCTTTTTTTTAATGGCAGTATTGGTGGTCAGGCTCATATAAAATGTCAAATCATTATCGTGAGGAATAGTTTTCTTAGATTAAGTTAAATTTCATATTCCGTGATTATAGGAACACTTAAATAATTTTTGATTTCACACAAAGCTTGAAGTATAAAGATTACTATTAAAGGTTTTGTTCTTTTATAGCAAAATTATTTTTTTAGTGTTTTAGGAGCTGTAAAAACCTGGCAAAGTGTAAGTTACTAATAATATGATAATAGATTAATTTGTTATATATCCAGCTCTTAAGTAGAACTTTTATAACAGTAAATTGTTATGCTTGTTTTTGTTTAGGTCTGTTTTGAACATTTTCATATCCTCTATTCAGAGTTTATTGTAATATTTTAAATTTGCAGTGCTATATTGTGTCATCCAAAATGGCTCAGACATGAATCTGTACTAGGCTGTTCCATTTGGTTAGATAAAAGAAAAATTCGTGATTTTAATACAAGTTCTCACAGAAGAAACAGAAAAAGTACACTAGCCTGGGTTGGTGTTGTAGGTGTTGGAGTGGCTTCAGCTCTTGCATTATATTATAGATCATATGTTGCTGAAGCAAAGAAAGATGCAGGTGAGTATTTCTTTGCAAACACTGTTTTTAGTAGATTTCAAGAGTTTTATGATAAACTCAAAGTGGGTTGAATAGAGATAATTTTACTTACTATTACAAATTTAATTAAAATATTTTCTCTTCATTGAAGAATTCTGTACCTAGAGTAATTAAAATGTCTGTGTACAGTTGTTTTATAATTAGACCTTCACAACCATATAAACAGAAATCAAAAACTGGATAATTTTTTCTTTAGGTTTTATATTGTTTGCTTGAACCTTTCAGACATTTGTATATATAATCTAGTTTATAACAATCCCTACAGTACTCTAGAAATAATTTTTTAATCAGTATGATAAGTTATGTTAAACAGAACATTTAATGCATAACATAACCCATCTTAATAATCTGTTTTGTATGAACCTGCTTGATGAAGCCATAATTGTGAAACATTAGTTTGATTAAATAAATTCCTAAAGTATTGAGGTAATTTTTGTTAATAGTATAGGTAACTTTTTCATGTGTTTACAGACTTAAAGATGCCTATGAATGAGTTATTATACACTTTTCAGATTTCATTCAAGCCTTTTTTACACCAAAATTTGGCGTATCTGTGCTGTTAAGAAAGAATTGTAACTTTTATTCTCTAATTGTATACTTTTAGCTTGGTGATGATAAAATATTTGGTAGTTAATGCAAGTATATCATTAAGGAGGTTACTAAAATAGCTTTTATTTTCTATTTAAAGAAGTTTATTGATCAAAGTTCTTAAATCTAGTATTTGTTGTAGTTTTTTCTTTAAGTGTCCAAAATTCCATTTTTTCTCCTAAGTTATAGATAAAAAAAAAAACCACAGGGTTTAAATATTATAAAGTTAATGGACTACACTTGATTTTTTTCTGAAATATTTGTTTGTGTAATAGTACTATTTTATGAGATACTGATAAGGTGTAGACATACCACAACTGATTGAGAATTAACTCAGTGAGAAACTGGTGATCCAGAACAAGAACATAATGGCAACTGAGGTCATTAAAATTAGGTATAATATACTAACGTTTGCCTAATGGTAATGAAAATAATCAATTAACAGCCTGGATCTTTAATAGATGTTCCTGCCATCCAAGGAAATACTGGAATTGTATTATTTTCAACAAGTCGTACACATTCTGAGCTAGATGAGTCTGAAACTAGGGCTGTGACTGCTGGAGAAGAGATTGTAGGGTTGCCTGAATACACCATGGAAGAAGTAGCTAAGCATGATTCTCTTCAGAACAGAATCTGGGTGTCCTACCATAGTGGAGTGTATGACATTACAGACTTTATCCCCTTACATCCAGGTGGAACTAAGATATTGATGGCAGCAGGGGGTTCTTTGGAACCATTTTGGGAAATGTATGCTGTCCACAAGAAAGATGAGGTTTGGTTTTGATTGTTTTACCTCAGAAGCTTAGTAAACCTATATTACCTAAGTATGTAGAAAAGTGATATGTAGTTTTAGGATGTTTATGAAAAAACAGCACAAGTGGTACAAGTGTAGATCATACCCGCCTTAGCTTTTACCAGTTAATCTGGAATTTATCTTGTATATCTTGAATCTCCAGTTCAAGCCAAATGTAAAAACAGCCAGATAACAGAGCAAAGTTAAGAGGTTTGTAGATGTTTATGTATTTTTCAAACAAAATGTTTTATTTTTTAGTTTAAATCTAATGAAAAGAAAATAAGTTAACAATATAATTATTGAATATTTTGTTTGACAGATTCTTGCTATGATGGAAGAGTACAGAATTGGAAATCTTCGGGCTGAAGATCGAGGTTATGCTACTGCTAATATGGCTGACCCTTATGCTGCAGAACCAAAACGACATCACATTTTTCAGCCAAGATCTATGAAACCTTTTAATGCTGAACCTCCATTAAGCTTACTTGTGGACAGTTTCATTACTCCAAAGTATACTTAATATATTTTCATTTTAGATGTTATTTAAGAACTAGGATAATATTTAATGTTAGATTTAAATATGGAAACACTACCCAGAAATTAGATTGCATATAGGGTTAAATATAGTTAATTTTTTCTTTTTTAATAATACAGTTTGTTACACCTGCATAGAATCAAATCCAGTAAAGTGTGAGACCCTTTATCAGGCAACTGAACTGTCAGGAAAAATTGTGAAGATTTCATAAAATGGAAAATTTGTGTTAATATACAGTAAACATATGTTTGATATGTGATTAAAATTATTTTAACCAGAATTTGGGTTTAATTGGTAAGTTATACTTTATAAAAACATAAACAACTTAGACTACACTTGGTGATGCTGTTGTGAAATTGAGTTAATCTTAGAACAGTGGGATAGGGCCACTTAATAACAAGAGATTGGGTAAAGATATCAGTTAAGAAATAATCATGAATCTTCAATGAACTAAGTCATGGTATTGAATGGAATAATGAGATTGGACACAAAGTGAAATATAAAATGAAATTACAACTGTCTTAAAAATGAACTATTGCATGTACAGGCTTCATTGGATCCCTGCTTGATCAGTAGCTGTACTTCTCTCTATTGCCATTCGCATGACAATAACTAACATGCTTGCTCTTAGACCCAGATTCATTCCTTCCACTGCCATTTCTTTGCTATAGGAAGTAATTTTGAAGTGGTCAGTCCATTGCCACAGCTAAACAATGTGACATACTATGTGTGCAAAGCACACACTGGTATACAAAGCATGCCATTTTTAGAGGGGTTTTGGGGCATGTCTCCCCAGAAAATGTTTGAAATATTAATGCTATGAGATTGAATCTTAAGCCATTTTAACTACAAAAACTGCATACACACAACATAATGTATTGAATTAAAACAAGCAAATTTTAATACACAAGTTGTAGCTTTACAAACCATGAAAAAGTGGTCAGGCCATGACCTGGCTGGCATTAATGCCTC